AAAGGGCAGTTTCTGCCAGAGCTCTCTCAGCCCCACCTACCTCACAGGGTGTCTGTTATGGGGAGAGGAAGGGAAAGGAGTTTGTAAGCCGCTCTGAGACTGAGTGAAGGGTGGGGTATAAATCCAATCTCCTCCTCCTCCTGGAGCACATGCTTCACCTGGTGGTGAAGGATGCTCTGAGGCTCGAGATCACTGTCAAGGCCACCTGGGATGCAGGCCTTGCTGGGGATCTGCTGGCGCCTGGCTGCCCATTTCTCACACAGCATCAAGTCGGCCCATCTGCTGTGTGAGAGGCAGAGGGAGCAGGATGAGCCTGACTACCAGCTCATCCTGGACTTACCCACCTGTTGGAACTCCACCTACGCCATGATTGCATGTTTGATGGAGCAGAGGAGCCCAGTGCAGGATGTCATCTCCTCCATGACCATCCTGCAGAGGGAAGAGGAGCTCAGCATCAGCTCCAATGACTGGTTGACCTTCTCCCAAATGGTGCGTGTCCTCAAGCCCTTCCAGGACACCACCGATGTGTTCCGTGTCCATACGGCCAGACTGAGGCAAGTCATCCCCCTGATTCAAGGGCTGGACGGGGCGCTGGCCTCCACACTGCAGCCAGGCCCCGAGGGGATACCTGTTCTCCCATGGGTCAGGGCCTTGACAGAGAGAAGAAGAAGAAGAGATTGGATTTATACCCCGCCCTTCACTACCCAAAGGTGTCTCAGAGCGGCTTACAAACTCCTTTCCCTTCCCTTCCCCACAACAGACACCCTGTGAGGTAGGTGGGGCTGAGAGAGCTCTTGACAGAAACGGCTCTTTTTCAAGAACAGCTCTTATCAGAACTACGGCTTGCCCAAGGTCATCCAGCCAGGTGCAAGTGGAGGAGTGGGGAATCAAACCCGGTTCTCCCAGATTAGAGTCCGCGCACTTAACCACTACACCAAACTGCAACCGAGGTTGCAGGTGGGCATCACCACCAGGGGGCATCCTCTCGGCAAGGACGGGGAGTACAGGCTGGCCTGTATCTGTGACCCCAGATAAAAGGCAGCGTTGTTTCCTGGAATGCAGAGCTCTTGCAATTGAAGCATGAGCTCTGCAAAGAAGTGCGGAGGCTGCAGGCCAGCAGACGTGGGCAGAGGGAACAGTGGGTGGAAGAGGCTGGAGAGAGGAAAAGGAGCCGCATCCCAGCACCTCTGCCTCAAAGAGCCCAACCAGAGAGAAGCCTTGCTACTGGTTGTCAGTGGTGAACTGGGAGGCCAGCAGTGGTGGGGAGGCCAGGCGAGCAATGGTGGAAGATTCGGCAGAGGTGATGGTGAGGGAGTACTTTGCCGAATCCCCTGAGCCCGCCTCCACCAATCTCCTGGAGTACCGGTCACACAAGGCTGCCACCTGGCCTGACCTCTCTTGTGTGACCATGAGTCTCCTCTCCTGCCCTCCCAACAGGGTCCAAAGTGAGCGGGTGTTCTCTCACCTGAGAGATATTCTCAGTCCCCACAGTTCCTGCCTGGATTTGGCTAGGGTGGATGAGTTGGCCTTCCTGAAAAGTACGCAGACGGAGAGTGATTTCAGCAAAGCATATTTTATTCGATCAGGAACAAGACAGCTTTGGCTGGCTCACAGGCCGGCTTATATTCCCACAGAAACCACCACCCAAAACACCCCCCCACTTCCCAATAGGTTATTTACAGTAGCCGAGAGTCCCATTGGCTTCTTGGCCAGGAACCTAGCCCCCTGATTGGAGCGGGCTAGGATCCGCATAATCCATTGTCTCTTGGAGCGAACATGTCTGGACTCGATACATTACACTTCCTGAAGGTCAGCCTTCTCCGGCTGGGCTACCCCTCTCTGGACCTTACAGGGCAAGATCCAGGCCTCCGGTTGTCCCCGTGTGTGCCCCCATTCCTCCTCCTCCTCTCTGGGTTATCTGGCATGCAGCTTGTGCCCTTGGTGCTTGGGTGGGAGGATGGTTACCTCTGCCAGATAGCGGTGGGCTCCCTCACCCAACACCTACCTCACGAAACAAAAACATCTACCTCATAACACAACACCTACCTCACGACCACTTTCAGTGGAAAAATCTGCTTTTCACTGGTCTGGTGGGGCTGGGATGACCTGCCTACCAAGCTGTCATGGGGTTACGTCAGGGAGCCCCTGTCACATCAGATGCCTGCCTTTCTGTTGTGGCTGGCATCACTACTCACTTTAGATGGAAAGATCTGATTTCCACTGGTTTAGTGGGGCTGGGGTGCCCTGCCCGCCAAGCTGTCATGGGGTTACTTCAGTGAGGCCATCCTGCCAGATGTCTGCCTTTCTGTCATGGCTGGCATCACTAAGTACTTTAAGTGGAAAACTCCAGTTTCCATTGGTCCAGTGGGGCTGGCGTGCCCTGCTCTCCAAACTGTCGTGGGGTAACTTTGGGGAGTCCATCGGACATCTCTTGTGATGTCTGCCTGTTGTTGCATCACTAATCACTTTAAATGGAAAACTATTATTTCCGCTGGTCTGGTGGGGCTGGGGTGCCCACCAAGCTGTCGTGGCGTAACTCTGGTGATGTCTGCCTTTCTGTCCTTCAGAACCTGGCTTTGGAGACTTGGGGAGGGGCTGCAAGCATGGGGGGGGGATCTTGCCTTGCTTCCAGTGTCTGGGGGGGGGGGGAGCCGGCCCCGGGTGGGGGGGATCCTGCCCAGATTAAATTTCCCTGTGAGTTTGGTGTCACTGGCTTGTTCCTGAGCCATTCCATAGATTCCTGTAACTGGAGCTGTCTTCTCCAGAGAGCACTGGGTAAACCTTTTGGGAGTCCGTAACTGGGACCCCAGAAATGTAATCCGCCCCCAAGTTGGAGAGGAGCAGGAGAGATTCCATGTGTGTTTGGTGTGTAGCTTGGAGGGGTTACTTCAGTACTTCAGTTATACACTTTTGGAGCTATGCTTGACATTTCCCACAAAAGCACTTTCCTGGCTTGACTTTAATTTTTTGGGTTTACAGTGCCACAGTGGGACTGGTTCTGTTGGGCTTGCAAAAATCCCCTCCCCACCTTCAGTTTCTACTGATTCTCTGATTTGACCTTAGTCCCTAGGAAACAATGTAGGATGGGGCACCTTCTTTGGGGGGCCATAACTTGGACCCCATAAATCCAATCCTCACCAAACTTGGAGGACAGGTAGAGGAGTCACTTGGGACATGCAGTGGGTTTGGTGTATCTAACTTGCACAGGATCTGTTCTATACACCTCTGAACCTGTCGCAGGTAGATGAGAGTCATAAGAACACAAGAGAAGCCATGTTGGATCAGGCCAATGGCCCATCCTGTTCAACAATCTGTATCACACAGTGGCCAAGTCAGCCAGAGAACCCCTGCAAATTTGGTGTCTCTAGCACACCTGGGAGAGGGGGCGTTCTACCATGTCACAAACCAAACCAGCTCATCTAGTACAAAGAAGTTTGTGATGGTCTGTGGTTTGTGAACCACACACACCACGAACCACATTTTCCTGGTTCATGTCCATCCTAGTCCCATGTCACATTCTGATACCTGAAATTGAGACTGAATGCAAAACCTTCTCAGGACCTTTAGATCTCATTTTCCAGGAAGATCAGATCATAATAAACTAGTATTGCCACTGGAAAATATGGATAAATTAATTTGTTACTGAACACGAAGAGTTGCTGCCGCTGTCATAAAAATGATGAGGCACACTGATCTAAGCACAGTTGCCCTACACAATCACTGCTCCACTCTGGGTCATTAGCCATTGGACTGTAAGATGTATTACTTTAGTTTTAAATGATTGTGCATTTTCATTTCTTCTGTGAAAATGTCTTGCTTTTATTTTAATAGACGTCTTGTGTTGTTGCTATGACTTATTTACTGATGCAATTTCATTTCCTCCAAGTAAAAGCAAAACTCTTTCAGAAATCATCCGAATGTCTGACACTACCATTTTGCCACTGGAAATTTTCCTCCAGGTCATCATGGATAATGTATTGGGTTTTTTAGCTCTTTCTTGAGTCATATGGCTTGGCACTTTAAGAACATAAGAGAAGCCATTGTTGGATCAGGCCAATGGCCGATCCAGTCCAACACTGTCACACAGTGGCCAAAAATACCAAGTGCCATCAGGAGGTCTGGGGCATGTTTTCAGCTTGGGACTCAGTGTAGTGCTGATGAATCTGGATGGATGGGCCCAGACTTGCAGCAGATGGGTTGAAACCATCAGCTCTATGATTCTATGACTCCTTCAAACAAAACATACCTGGAGAACTTTCTTTCTGCGATTCATACAAGCACGTGGGTTTTGGTGCATGCAGCTGTCTTCCAGATCGCACAAAAACCTAACTTCCTAGAATTATGATTTGCTTCCTTTCTCCCATTAGCCAAACTACCGGAACTATGTACAGTTTTAAGTGCTAGGAGAGCTCCAGTTTGCTTTGCTGATGTCATTGCAAAGGAGCTGCCAATTACACTTCACGACTGTGGTTTACTTTAGAAAAGAACTTCACACAGGAGCTTAAGCAGCAGTGGTAAACTTTCTCCTGAAATTCTATATTATATGGGGACCTCCTTGTTCTCAGGTCCTCAAAAAGCCCCGAAGAACCAAAGATACTGTCCACGATCCACACACTGAGATGTACACCACTCCCACTCTTAAGTGTAGAACAGAACAATGTTCACCAAGTTCCTCTTCATGTACTTCTCCTCTCGCAAACACTGTGAAAAAGTTCACAGCAGCCTTCTGAATAAACACCAGAGGGGAAAAAGCCCAACATAGTTTTTACGAGAAAAATTTCAACAGTCCAATGTCAACTTTAAACAAATCAAGTAGATCCCCAGCAAAGTTAAAGCCACTAGTTTGGTTAGTCTTCAGTCTTAGAATGTTGTATTTGGTCCTTGTAAGTCATGGTGCAAGTTCCACAGCGACTGGTGCCATAGATGCAAATAAACATAGATGCATAGATTACATAAAATGGTACCTTATGTTAAAAGTAAAAAAAAAAAGAAGATATTAAAATGCTTTATTTAAAAGCATTTCACAGTACCCAATAGCATTACTTCCATGTTCCTACAATAGATTTCTGTCAGCTTCTGCTTTTAACGAAAATAAAATACAATTCAGAGCACTTTATTGCCTTATGTATACAAGTCAAATACAAAATAATTAGCCAAATACAAAAGAGTTAAAATAAATCACCATTTCAGAAATGGGTTACAGTTATTTTGATGCAATTATATTTTTTTCATGAAACATCTTTTGTTGCCATTCTACAAATGATGCCATCCAGTAGTGTTCCTATTTTTTCTTCCTGTGGCGTGAGCTTGTATATCTGAAAAAGGAAAATGGAATGGTGACTTTCTTGAGTACTATGCAGTTCTGAAAATGGTGTCCACAATGTCTTCCAGGTTGAATTAGCGATTAATGTGTAATAATTACATTAAAATATTTTTTTGGTCAAAGCTGAAAATGTTTCCACTGGAAAACAGCAAATGCAAAAAATTTAATCAAATGCATCTGTTGTGCTGACATATTTATTTACCTCATTTAGAATCTGCCTCTCTCTCCAACGGGGACCCCTAAATAGCTTACACTGGTCTTGTCAACTTTATTTTACCCTCAAGCAACCTTGTACGTTAGGCTGAGAGCATGTGATTGGCCAAAGGTTATCCAATAAGCTCCCATAGCAGAGGGATAATTCCATCCTGGGTCTTCCAGATCCTAGTGTGAGATTCTAACCACTATACCATGCTGGCTTAAAAGGACTTGGGTAGGTTTTCTTGCAGCCTCCTGTACTGGCCTCCCAATAGCCTCTCAGAGTCAGCAGCCCTCTGCAGCAGCTGTTCTTTCCAGACCTTTCCTTTGGCCCGTATCCAAGTAGCTAAAAACAGAGCAAACCAATCTCTTTTGCCTGATCTCCACCCTCCCTTCTTGACAAGCTTGTACAAACCTTTTTGATTTTTGATATGTCTGTTATCTGGGGGAGATCTGCCAAAGGAGCTTGCTGGCCATCCACTTGACTTATTATGTTTTCCAGATTCACCCTTTTCTCTTGGTCTTCCACCAGAACGATGATGACTGCAGAGTCACTGTCCGAAATGCCAAACCTTTTCAAGGCATCTGAAATCTAATGTAAGTGAAAGAATGCAAAATTTGCCTCATTGTACTTACTCCCAAGTAGAAATAGGTTTTCAAAATTATATTTATACATTCCACTTTTCTTCCTTCAATGAGTCATAAGCAGGATTCCCAGATGGCCTCCCGTGCAGGCACAGGCCAGACCCAAACCTGTATAGCTGTATTATCGTATCATGGGCCCACCTCCCCATTTCTCAGTGCATTGAAAAGTCTGAACTGTGAGAGCCGCCCTCCATTATTTTCAGTAAAACATTCAAAAGCATTAATTTAGAGCATTAAAATACTACTTGATGTTGTATCCAATGATGAATACCACAGGAATCCCTTATCAGAGATAATTTAATTCTCAGCCATTTTAGTTTCCCCCATTCCTGTCTCCTAACTCGTGTTCCTGATTTTCATCTTTGCCAATGAGTAGATGGGCAGGTGTTGAAATGTGTGCTACATAAGCAGGTTTCAGACAGTGATGCCACCTCCATAATCATCTGTCAACACATTCATTACATATGAAGATCCAAGCTGATTTTTGTTCTACAATGGTGTATTTTTTAAACCTGAAACAGGCGGCAAGTCAAGAAGCTAGTTGTACTTGAGACCCCCTGACTGGTTGCTGGCCTGATACCACTGCAAAAGGTTCAGAGAAAGGCAGATATGCCCTATGCCCATAGGTGTCATGTAGACCTGGCCAACTTGTGGTGCACTAAGCCAAAGGCAACTCACCAGGGACCATTTCCCTTTCTGTGCCTACCCAAGACTGCAAAAACAGGGAAGGAGGTTGTTGAGAAGCACATTATGGCCCACAAGATGATGGCTGGAGATCTGTATTTAACGTGGTGCACCACAACCTGCACAGGCAGTGTTCTAGAGAGCCTGTCACAACAGACTGTCTTCCCTCAAGCCTTGGAGCACCACAGCACAGAGGGCCCAGCACACTTCCCTTCTCCTGCTGGAGTAAGGCTGCAGCAGGGACTCCTGTCAGAGCAAATGGGACAATCTGAAGCAATTTCTGAATAGGTAAAGTGAAAATGTAAGGCTCCATACAAGAGGCAGTGCACAGGGGGCAATTGCCAATGCCCCCCCCCCAACCAAGGGAGGAAAGAAGAAGAGCTGGCTCCTGCCACCACTGCAGCCACCCCATCCAAGGCTTGGTCAGCTGGCTTCTGGTGGCAGCTCCTGCCCACCTCACATGGGGTGAGGGCCGTCTCTTGCCTGGCCCTGCAGAGGTGACAGTGATTTGGGGATCCTATCCTGGACGACTGCTCAGGACCCCAGAATCACCAAGACTGCCCCAGCAGTGTGACTTTTCAAGATCCAGAGGAAGCATC